ACACACACACACACACACACACACACACACACACACACACACACACTCTTTCCATCCCTGAGAAGACTGTATGCCCCAAACTCTAGGCTAAGGCTCTGTGCATGGGATGTCGTTGTACTCACAGAGCAGCAGCTCCAGGGCAAACAGTGTCAGGGGAAGAGAGGCAAGTTAAATAAAAAGAAGGCTTACACTGGGACACTGGGCAGGTTTTAGAACGTTTATGGATTGGATCCACGACGTCAGATAAACATCCAAGGCAAGAGAGCTTCTGATAGTCAGAGTCTTCATTTGCCAAACTGCGACCACTGCATCGGGAAAAGGGAGTGAGGAGAGACTTGCCATCTGCAGGACGTGGGAGTTGCTACAGAGGCCCATGGTCCACATGCTTGTGCATATACATGGGCTACTTCACGCGAACAGATGTGGCTGCTTCCTGTCCCCACCTGGAATTTAAGGTCTTTCATACTTAACATGTTCTAGAAGGTGGAGTGGGCATGTCCTCCTGGCACATGAGAAAATTTACCACTTGGAATTGGAGCATGGGCTCAGGAGGCCAGGATGAGTGTCCATGGCAGAAGTTATACATAACACAGTTCGTTCCTCCCTCCCTCCCTCCTTCCTGCTATTTAAAATATTGTTTCTCGTCGGGGCGGTGGTGGCACACGCCTTTAATCCCAGCACTCGGGAGGCAGAGCCAGGTGGATCTCTGTGAGTTCGAGGCCAGCCTGGTCTATGGAGAGAGATCCAGGAAAGGCACAAAGCTACACAGAGAAAGCCTGTCTCGAAAAACCAAATAAATAAATAAATAAATAAATAAATAAATAAATAAAATAAAAAACGTTGTTTCTCCTGATTTACCATTTTAGTTTTCAATAGACTGGTTCAAAGAACTCTGTCCTCTTCTTTATTTGAAACCCACAAAGCCCACGGTGGCTTCCTGCTTTAAACCCTCTGCTTTCACACCTCAGGTGCTGGAGGGACAGGCGTGCACTGCCACACATAGCTTCAGGGAACTCTGGAACAGGCTTCTTCCAAACTTCCTCAGCATTAACTTTGCTCCAGGAAGATACTTTGCCTTACATGCCTGAGACCCTGGGCTCTAACTCTAGAACTGTGTGTTGGGGGTGGGGTGGGGTGGGGTGGGGTGGGGTGGGAGTCTCTCTAGTCATAGGGATCTTGAAGGACCTTGCAAGGAGAGACTAGTTCCTTGCAGGCAGACTCACTCACATCATTTATACCAGGCCTGGGAAGGGGCACACCTAAAGGCTGACTGGTTGGACCCCACTCAGCTCTCTTGAACAGATCAACAAAACGACAGATTATCTAATGACAAAGGGAGAAGACGTTTACCACGGAAGGATGCTACTTTTCTGATGGCTTCAAAGGGCAACAGTTTAGTCAGGGCTATTTGGATGCAATTTAAACCACTTTAGGACTGAAGGCGAGCTACTTAAGATCCAGCAGGGCACTGAAGGCTTGGCCCGGCTTCCTCCTCAGGCAGAGTTTCACATTATTCTATTTATTAAAAGCAGAAGTGCGGAAAATTCAGAGTTCACCCTCATGAAGACCGTGTGTGTGTGTGTGTGTGTGTGTGTGTGTGTGTGTGTGTGTGTGTGTAGGGGGAGGATGTGCTACAGTGCACCACCTCGCCTTTGGAACCAACAAACCTCCTAATAGTCAAGGGCAGACAGGTTGCTTCACATCTTTTAGGCCCTTCCTACTTCTGTGAAAAACAAAAGGGTCGGCCTCCGTGATTTAGAACACACACACACACACCACACCACATCACCTCTAAGAGAATACTGGAATCCTCGAGTGTTTCATTTCTCAGGAAGTCCTTCAGAGTGAAAGCAGGTAAGTAGTGACTGCTAAATTACTGGTTTTAAACAAGGTATCCAAGACTAACCCCGAGAGCATCCTTATTACAGGATTGCTTGCTTGCCCAGGACTTGATAATCATCATTGGGGTGGATTTCTCTGTCAGTTTCTCTCTTTGAAGAGCCGTATGCACTGAACATGGTCCATGAACATCGGTGTGTATGGAGTAAAGCTAGAGTATGTTAAACACCGAATTTAACCAACTCAGTTCAAATCCCTGAGGCTGAACTATTTGATTACTTGAAAAGATCTCTTGTCTTTATTTTTTGAGAAGTTCATACATGGATACAATGAATATTGATCATATCCTCCCAATTTCCCCTTCAACTCCCTCGACTCCCCTCCCCCACTTCCCCCCTAACTTCTTGTTCTTCCTTTCCTCTCTCCTTCCTCTCCCCATTCTCTGCTCACTCGCTCTCTAGAATAATGGAGTCCAGTTAGTGCTTTATTTGCACGGGGCCAACCGCTAAGGCATTAGCAACCCATCAGAGGCCTCACCCCCAATGAAAGTGACTGTCCCTTCCAACCAGCCTTTACCCTGCCAAAGGTTCCTAAGATAAGGTGATTAACAAACTGGGAGGCAATGGTGGAGGTGATACCCATGGTCTTGATGGGTTTCAAGGCTTTGATAAACTCAGAGGGGGTTGCTTGGTATAGATAGGATCTCAGACCAACTTCCTTTCAATGGAAACAAACCCAAGCTGAACATAGCAAAAATATGGCTGATCCCACCGTCATTTTCTTGGCTCCACAGAGCAGTGGGAATGTCGGATTCAAGACGTAGCATGTTTCATGTGGTTGTGACGCTAAATGGGATGGCCCAGGTAAGACATCTTGCATTGCCTCCGACCTCCAACCACCCACAATCAGGCCAGAAAGGTGCTGGCTCAAACCAGGGGAGTTGAA